AGCCCAGCCCTGCCCGCGCCCCTCGCCGCCAGTTTCCCGACTTTTGTGTCTTTCGTGGAGTCGGAGTCTCGCTCTGGCGTCACGCCCCGGTCCCCGCAGCCTCGGCCAGCTGGGCCCCGGCGGTCCTTCCGCCTCAGCCTTCCAAGTAACTGGAACTACAGGCGCGCACCACCACGCCCGGCTACTCTTTTGCTTTATTGTAGAGATGGGAGTCTCGCCAAGTTTCCCAGGCTGGTCTCGAACCCGTGGGCTCAGGCAATCTTCTCACCTCAGCCTCTCAAAGTGCTGAAATTATAGGCACAAACCACCATGTCTGGTCTTTTTATTTCTTTTCTTTTCTTTTTTTTTTTTTTTTGAGTTGGACTCACTTTGTCGCCCAGACCGGAGTGCAGTGGCCGCAGCCTCAACCTGCTGGGCTCCGGCGATCCTTCCGCCTCAGCCTTCCAAGTGGCTGGAACTACAGGTGCATGCTACCAGGCCCGGCTAATTTTTGATTTATTGTAGAGATGAGGTCTTGCCAAGTTGCCCAGGCGGATCTTGAACCCACCGGCTCAGGCAGTCCACTCACTTCAGCCTCCCAAAGCGCGGGATTACAGGCTGAGCCACCAAGTCCGGCTTATTTCTTGTTTTATTTTTATTTTGAGTCAGAGTCTCACTCTCACCCAGGCTCGAATGCAGTGGCATGCATCAAATGCAGAGGCAGGCAATCCTTCTGCCTCAGCCTTCCAGGTAGCCAGAACTAAGGCATATGCCACCACGCCCAGCTAATTTTTTTATTTATTGTAGAGATGAGGTCTCACCAAGTTGCCCAGGCGAGTCTCAAACCCCTGGGCTCAGGCAATCCTCTCGCCTTGGCCTCCCAAAGTGCTAGGATTATAGGCATGAGCCACTGTTCCTGGCCTGATTTTTATATTTTCACTTTGGCGTAAACGAGGTCTCTCCCTGTCCCCAGGCTGGAAGGCAACAGTGCAACCGCTGCTCACTGCAGCCTCCAACTCCTGGGCTCAACTGATCCTCCCACCTCAGCTTCTCGAGTAGCTGGGACCACAGGCGCCACCACACCCGGTTGATTTTTATATTTTTTGTAGAGACAGGATCTCGGCATGTTGCCCAGGATGTTCTTGAACTCCTGGGGCTCGGGCAGCCCTCCTGCCTCAGCCTCCCAAAGTGCTGGGGTTAGAGGCAAGAACCATCATGCCAGGGCCTGTCTGTGGACAGGTGTCAGCCAGTCACAGCTCAGCCTGGCCCCACTCTGGTTCAGGGTGTTGGCATCTGCCGGCCACCACGGCCAGGCCTCAGGTCCTGTGCCTGTCGCTGTCCATCCGCTGGTGGGGCCGGTGTTCTGTCCTGCCAAACCTGACCCTTCCCAGACTGACCGGGTCAGGCCCAGGAGCACTGGGTGGGTCTGCCGGCAGCAATTTCATGGCTTGATGTCACCCGTGCCATCTCCCGGTGTTCCAGTCGGTGACAAGCCGCCCATGATCCTCAAGTGGCGCATCCTGTCCGCCACCAACGACCTGGACCGCGTGTCGGCCGTGGCGCTGCCCAAGCTGCCCATCTCACTCACCAACACCGACCTCAAGGTGGCCAGCGACACCCAGTTCTATCCCGGCCTCGGTATGCCAACCGGAGCAGCCTCGCGGGGGCATGGTCAGGGGGCGGCCTGGGGCACAGGAGCGTGGCCTCCAGCTTCCAGGTACCCAGAAAGGCGGTGGCCCTGCCGGAGGCTGGCTGCAAGTCCAGTGCTTTAACACGTAAAGAGCTGCTGCGGCAGGTTCCTTCCTGGGACAGTGGCACCCGTCCCCGTCTCTCCTGTGTCACGGCAGCTGGGAGGTGGGTCCTCGGCTCGCACTTGCGGCATCCGTGCCCACGAGCATGTTGGGCGGTCTCTGGCCCGAGCCTCGGTCTGCTTGACGGTGAAGTGGGCCTGTGTCGGCCCAGCCTGGCCCTTCCCGGTCCTCCTCAGCCCCTCCCGGCCCCAGCTTGCGCCTCCAGCTCGCTGGGAAGGGCATCTCGCCAAGTCTGTGTGGGGCACCCGGCCTGCGGCTGGAAGCTGAGGAGAGCCGGGCCGGGTGTGGCCTGTGGCCCGCGGCCCGCGTTTCCTCCCCTTTCGCTTTCTGGTCTTGTCCTCCAGCCTCTCTCCTTGCTCTGGGGGAAGGAGGCGAGACTACCTGAGCGCGAGGACACCTGAGCGAGGGACCCTCGGTCATGGGATGCCTGGGCGTGGGGCGGTCTGGGCGCGGGCACCCTGGCCCGCCACGCCCTCGCCCAGCTGAGCTGCCACATCCTGCAGGGCTGGCCCTGGCCTTCCACGACGGCAGCGTGCACGTGGTGCACCGGCTCTCGCTGCAGACCATGGCGGTCTTCTACAGCTCAGCGGCGCCGCGCCCGGTGGACGAGCCAGCCCTGAAGCGCCCCCGCACCGCCGGCCCTGCCGTGCACTTCAAGGCCATGCAGCTGTCCTGGACGTCCCTGGCGCTCGTGGGCGTCGACAACTACGGGAAGGTGGGCTGCGGGGACGGGTGGGGGCGCCTTGGGCAAGGGGCACGGGCCACCCCACCACCTCTTCCCCCCGCCATCGAGTCCTCGTGTGAGAGGCGGCGGGGTTTGGGCCGCTCTGCGAGGGCTCGTGGGAGCAGGCCTGGGTTCCCGGCCAAGTGGGTACCTCACGGGGGGGCCGCTGGGGCCGGCGCGGCTCGTGCCAGGGGCTTCTTGGAGTCAAACGTGGCCGCGTGTGCACCACCGGCAGGGCGTCGGGCGTTGGGGGGGCTCAGCCCACCCTTCCCTGTTCCCAGAGGAGTTGTCCTTGACCTTGCCAGGAAGAGGCGAGCATCGCCCATATGCATGCACGATACATGTGAATTCAGGCATGTGCACACACCAGCACGTATGCACACAGGTGTGCACACATGTACAGGCGTGCACACAGGCATGTGCTCACTCAGGTGCATGCACAAGTGCACGTACAGGTGTGTGCACAGGAGCCATGTGAGCAAGATGCCTATTCACACTTGGACACACAGGTGTGCACCCATGCACTTACAGATGTTCATACACTTGCACACATGTGTATTCAGGCACGTGCACATACAGGTGTGTATACATCCAAGCAAGCACAGCCATGTGCACACGGGCATGTATTCACACTTGGGCACACAGGCGTGTGTACACACTTGCATAAAGGCGTGTACACGTGCACTCAGGCGTGTACACATACAGTTGTGCATACACTCAGGTGCGCCCACAAGCATGCACAGGTAGGCATGTGCATACAGGTGTGTGAACACAGCTCCACACACAGGCATGTGCTCAGCCGGGTGCAACCACGCGCGCACATGCAAGCGTCGGCACACGTGGGCGTGCACACGGGCACAGAAATCGTTGCACACAGCCGCGTGCTCGCACTCGGACCCACAGACGTGCCCGCAGCATGCACACACAGGCACGCGCACACGCAGGCCGAAAGCCAGCCGAGCGCCCACGCGCCCTCTCTGCCCCAGCTGAGCGTGCTGCGCGTCTCGCCCTCCATGGGCCACCCGCTGGACGTGGGCCTGGCGCTGCGGCACCTGCTCTTCCTGCTGGAGTACTGCATGGTGACCGGCTACGACTGGTGGGACATCCTGCTGCACGTGCAGCCCGGCATGGTGCAGAGCCTGGTGGAGAAGCTGCACGAGGAGTACACGCGCCAGA